TTTATTTATTTGTTTAAACTAATAAATAGTTCTTACAAATCGTCATTTTGCTCTTAAGGAGCCTCTACATGTCTCATATATTCTTTTTACCCTACCAGCGCTTCGAGACCAACATTTGGCAAGTGCTGAGAAGAAGCGCCGCAACAAACTCAGTCACCACTGTCTGCCGGTTAATATAAATAAATAGAAATAGTAGTAGTAGGTAAATTCGATTCAGGAGCAGTTCACTGAATTTAACTCATGCTATTTTTTTTAGCAATGTACCTACCTACCATTTAGGCTGAGTCCGCACTATGGTTTTTTCCCGCAAGCGGTAAACCGCCAAACTTTTTTTTAGCAATGTACCTACCTACCATTTAGGCTGAGTCCGCACTATGGTTTTTTCCCGCAAGCGGTAAACCGCCTAACCGCGAGACCGCCCGAAACGTATACCTACTTACGCGTGAAAAAGCCGCAGTGCGAACGCTTGCATTAGTTTTACTTGGTTATAAAATCACGCGGTTAAAAACCGCGACGGTTTAGCCGTAGTGTGGACTCGGCCTTACCCAAATCTGTGGCCCAACAATGTTAACAGCATTGTTGTGTTCCGGCAGTTGAAGGTAGGAAATAAAGTTACTCTGTGGTTGAAGAATCCGGGTGAAGCTCGCTTCCACCTTCGACCGACAGAAACTTCCTTGCTGTAGATAAAAAAAAAAATGTTGTGTGAGACTAACCTCATAAATGTAGCAGGCAGGCGCTGGATGTAGGCCGCTGCCAACCGGGCGATGTGGAAATCATTGGAGGAGGCCTATGTTCAGCAGTGGACGTTCTGTGGCTGAAATGATGATGATGATGATGATGATGATGATGAATGTTGTGTTTATGGATAACAGGAAACCTTCACCATACCATAGCATAGGTGCTATGTTATCAAACCTGCATAGAGTTACTCGTTTTAATTACTTTGCGGCTGCATGCATGGAAACGTATGGCTTTACGGGTACAGTCGCGGGCAAAATGTCAACAGGGAAAATTATGTAAAAAAAAAACTAAAAAAAATATATAAGCAAACAAAACAATATTATTTACCAAATTCCTAGGTACTCGTTAGAGGTGCCAAGTATCTTGAATCTATGCTTTAGTTTCAGCTAAGCGTAAGGATCGTTTTTATAGGCCTAATTATTTTTAAAGATATTTAATTGAAATTTTAATTTAAGGTAAACGTGGAAATTTGAGTTTAGTTTATTCATGTCAAAATCATAAAGAGACTACTCAAAGAGTATTAGATACCAACTTGTATCGATTTACAGTTGCAACTGCGATTGGAGGATGTTATTTAATAACAAACCTTCTACTTAAATTGTATTATTAAAAGATAAGTAATGATGTTCCCGTTACAGTAATGAGAGCATAATGCGATCCTTGTCTAATGTGATATTGATCACCATAAGCCATTGAGCCACGTGCAACTGGGAACGACGAAACACAGGGGAAACTTTTACAGCATTTTGTAATGCTTTAAAAAGCTTCTTGAGATCTATCAATCGATGTAAAGTAGTAATTATTTTAAGTGTAGAAAATATTAAACCAGCTTAGAGGTCCAGGGTATGATTCCCGGATAGGACAGAATTTTCCAATTTTATTTCTAAAATCTAAAATCAAATAATACCATTCGGGTTTTTATACCACTTAAGACGTCGCTGGGGGCTCCTAAGTTTTTGGACATCGAGGTGCCTTAGACAAAATTACATTCGATTCGATTCAAGATCGTCATAGTCGTGATTGTTTCGGACTAGGTTATAGGGTTAGGTATAACGATATTAGCGACATCGACACAAAAATATGACAACGATACGGTACTATTACTTATTCTGGACGATACACTTGTTACATTATGATCAAAAACGTTCGAAGAAAACGAAGTAGACTCAATCATAATCTCTTACTTATCTCATAACCTACATGCACCTAGAAAATTTCACTAGAAATAAAACAAGACCGAAGAAAAAAAAGAAGATCGATGTTTAATCCCTAAACCGATCTTAATAAAGTTCCCCCAACAAAGAACATAAGACGGGCAAATCTTTTGTTTCACTATGCTTTGTTTTTAAGTTTTAATGCTAACTAAAAAGCAAGGTAAAGTAGTGGGATGAGTTTAAATCCCCTATTGAAAAACTTTTACCTTTCATCGATGGAATCTTCGTAGGTAATAAAATATTAAGTAAGCGAGATTTATTATAGTGGAACGATACCCAACTATAATATAATTTAAAAAATACGGCTTAGTGACAACAGCACATAAGTTCATTGGGATAAGAAAAACCAACAAGCCATTGGTTGGGATAAAAAAAATGGGATTTTTACAGGTTTCCGATCTATTTTCAATTCGCATAATTCCAGGCGGAAAATTTTCAAAATGTCATCAAGAAATAAAGGAAAAAATAAATATTTTACATCTATTTGAGAAGAAAAAACACAAGAAAAATATATATATTTTGATAATTAAAGAACTCAGTAATTTTCTTTGCGTCAGTACTTTATGCAACATGTTCGATACGAATCGAAAATGAATATTAATTTCCTCGAAATGAGTTTTCTAAAATAATAATAACTAATTAAGTAAAGGTGACTATAACTAGTTTTAATCGAATACAGCTGTAAAATGCAGTACAAATTAATTGCAATCATCAAGATATTTGACACTTTTATAATGCAAACAGCCAGGGACTGGAATTCGCTGCCTGCTGCTGTCTTTCCTGAACACAATAATCCGGGCCTTTTCAAGACGAGAGTGAATAGGCACTTACAGGGCAGATATCGTATGTACCATATCCTAGACTGCATCTTTCTTAACACCAGGTGCAATTACCTGTCTTATCTTGCATAAAAAAGAAAGAGTGACAAAATGTACTGAATTCTATCTTTTTATATCATATTCGAAATTACTGGAATCTACAGTTAAGAAAATTAACCACAAAAATATTCAAAATTAAGTACCTACTAAGTGGTTTTATCGTTTTAAAGTATATTTATTAAACGTCCCGACTCCCGCTGGACTCGAACCGGCAATAGTAGGTTTTCATTTCCTGGATTCCACTGCGCCTGAGGGTATCTGGCCGAAACGGAAAATTACATTGGAGTTATATTTGGAAATGTAAACTCTCGAAGAATCGCATTACAATCTCGTTCTTGTTATATTATATTTAATTGAAATGAAAATAATTGAGACATTAGTCTAAAATGATTTATATTCGTGAACGATTGAGTGCATCGAAGTTTAGGTGATCGGGTACCTATGCAAGCATTTAAAAAAGTATTTTTAGAAGTTATCAACATCATTTTCAGCCATAGGACGTCCACCTGCTGAACATAGGCCTTCTCCAATGATTTCCACAATGGCCGGTTGGTGGCGGCCTGCATCCAGCGCCTTCCCGCTACCATTATGAGATCGTCGGTTCACCTTGTGGGTGGACATCCTACGCTGCGCTTTCCGGTACGAGGCCTCCATTCCAGAACCTTGCTGCCCCATCGGCCGTCAGTTCTGCTTACCTACTATGTGCTCTGCCCATTGCCACTTCAGCTTTCTAATCTTTCTTTCTAAAATTATAAATCCTTATCCTAAATAATTTAGAAGTATACCCACTCCTTATAGGTAAGAATAAGTAAGTTAGTTAGAAAAGTACAATTATTACTTTTTAGTATGAATTGAATGGTTGGTAAAATCATCAAATGTTTAAAAAGTGATGTTTTTGGATTTTTTGATTTGCATTTTGGAAGATTGAAGCCTGTATTCACAAACGATGCTTGCATAATTTAGTGAAGCAGCAAATCGAACGCATAGCGTTGAATAGAGCTCTGTGATTAGTTCGTGTGTCACCCTGTGCGTCCACGCGCACTGTGAGACCTCATAGTAATGTTTTTGAATACGGGCGATAATGTCCTAGTCATAATCAATCTAAACAGAGTAATTAGTTAGAGTCCTAGGTTTATCTAAGAACTAAAGCAGAGCCTCTTCAAGGAATAATTAAAAGCCCGTCACTATTATTAAATTAGACCTAACTAGATCATTGACAAAGACACTATCACAGGGCGTGGGTTCTCAATGAGCCCAATCAAAGCCTTAGGACCGCTTTCCACCAAAGCGGAGCGGAGAAGAGCGGAGCGGTGCGGAGACGAGAAGGATGTGCAAAGCTGGCAGATGTGAGGCAAAGCTGCAGGCTATTTCGACGGAGCGGAGACGAGAGATATGCGGTAATGCAGGCAGGCTATTTCCACTAAAGCGGAGCGGAGAAGAGCGGAGCGGTGCGGAGACAAGTGGAGATGTGCGGCAAAGCTGGCAGGATATTTCTACCTAGTGGAGCGGAGAAGAGCGGAGCAGTGTGGAGACAAGAGATGTGCAAAGCTGGCAGGCTATTTCCACCAAAGTGGAGCGGAGATGTCAGCTGTCAGTCTATTGCTATCTATGAAACACCGCACTGCTCAGCACGTCTCTGCACCGCTCCGCTCTTCTCCGCACCCGCTGTCAAATTCTATAGGAAAACAAGTGCGCCCAATACTTGTCCGCTCGATCCATTTCCACCGAAGCGGAGCAGAGTGGAGTTGTGCAAATAATGGAATCAAATCAATAGACATGTTGACACCACAGTCAATTGACGTACTTTTTAAAACTGTCAAAACGAAACTCTCCCATAGATTTTGTATGGCACTACAAGCAAGTGACGTCACTATTTTGTCAACTCAATTAAACAACTTTGTTCAATTACAATGCGAACAAAAATCGTAATTTACAGGTAATTTAAAATAAATTAAGTTTTTAAGACCAGAATGAAGGGTCTTTTTAAAACAGTTGTGGTTTCGAATTATTGGGGTATGGTGTCAAACTGTCTAAAAACTTCTCTGCTCCGCTCCGTACCGCTCCGCTTTGGTGGAAACCGGGCCTTAGCGCCACTGTATAGCGCCCCGCTACTATAAAAGGAGTGAGTGTTACCTTACGGTGCGTAGTCAACTCCTGTTCCTTCAGGAGCTCAGTTCGAATTTCGAATTTTCAAATTTGAATTTGAAACGCGTTGTTTTTTTACAACTTGCCAGTGTTCGGATTGTCTATTGATATTCGCGTATTTTTCAAAGGTAAGTTTTTTTAATATTTTTTTTATTGAAAAGTTTTGTAGCAATGATAAAATGAATTGGAATTGAAATTTTAGGACACAGCCATTTTAAATTTATAGTGCATTTCATTGTATTATTATGTCACAAACTGCATCAAAATCTATTCAGCATTTTAGACAACTTTATTAAATATAGGATTATCGATAATTTTGTGGTGATGAATAACTTAAATCGAATAAAAAATTAAATACGCAAAATAAAGTCTTTTACACTATAATAATGTGTCCCTCCTGGGATTGGAACTATTCCCAAAGCTAGTAGTAACTACTGAGCCTATAGGTACTGTTCTTTAAAATACAGTTTGTTACTGAGGTCTGCGATTTATTTGACCAAACCGAGCGTAGTCTATAATGAAATAGAATAACTAATTAGGTTATCATCCCAACTATAATATTATAAATGCGAAAGTAACTCTGTCTGTCTGTCTGTCTGTCTGTCTGTCTGTCTGTCTGTCTGTCTGTCTGTTACGCTTTCCCGCTTAAACCTTGCAACCGATTTTGATGAAATTTGGCATAGAGATAGTTTGAGTCCCGGGAAAGAACATAGGATAGTTTTTATCCCGGTTTTTGAAACAGGGACGCGCGCGATAAAGTTTTTCTGTGACAGACAAAATTCCACGCGGGCGAAGCCGCGGGCGGAAAGCTAGTAGTCTAATAAATTAAAGCCTAAACCTTCCACTTTAAATAATTTTCTAGACTCAAACCACAAACGGAAAAATTTTAATAATGACAAATCGATGAAAGAAGTGTAAATCTTAAATTGCATCTCACTTAAAAAAAATTAGATGTGATTGCGGTCAAATACCTGCCTTGTTCAACATTAAAAAAAAGACAAATATTCAGCTAATCAATGTTTAAACTGAGAATAAAGCAAGTGTCAGCTGTAAAATCCTACTGTCTATGGGACAACATATTGGTTGGTTCTGAGAAGAAGCGTCGCTAGAAACTCGGTCACCTTTGTCAGCATTTTGTTGATGGAAACACAATTTAAAAGATATGTAGGTTATGCTGACGAGTGAAGCCTAATCACTCTTATCATTTTACTCATCATCTACAAAACAGTGGGAATTTTTTTTGTGAAAAAAAAAACTATTCAAATTGGCCATTAACTCAAAACTCATGAAACTTCTCTATGGACATCAGGGTGTCAATGTGACGTGATAATTTTGGGACAACCTGTATAAAGTATTAACAATCCGACATAAAAAAAAACGTTCTAAAAATACTTTATTTTCATAGCATAATAACTGTTTCCAGGAAATTCNTATACAGGGTGTTAGGTAAATGGGTATATGAGCCGACACTAGCCCATGTTAACATGGTCATATAAGTGGTATGGTGAAGTCAGAAATTTGATATCATCAATTTTTTTTTTAATTGTGATACAAAATAAATTTAATAAAATCCGATTTGTATGAAAATTAAAATAATTAAAATGAAGATATCGATTTTCTGACTTCACCATACCATTTATATGACCATGTTAACATGGGCTAGTGTCGGCTCATATACCCATTTACCTAACACCCTGTATATATAAAAGAAAGTCGTGTTAGTTACTTCGCTTATAACTCAAGAACGGCTGAACTGATTTAGCTGAAAATTGTCAGGGAGGTAGTTTAGAGCCAGGAGAAGGACATAGGATACTTTTTATCCCGTTCGAAATTAAAAAAAGTCTGCTTATTTATTGCCATTAAGGCGGAACAAAGTTCGCCGGGTCAGCTAGTTTCAAATAAACAAAAACTGCAGTTTTGTACGTTTACCGTGGAAATGACGATATTTTTAATCCGGTATTATAATGTAACGACCTAACGCCTATCAAATCATGAAATTATATTTCTTTATGAAACTTCAAGCTTGGAAAGGACGCATCTACATAATATTATGTATAGTCACATTTAATTTAATAATTTGTATAATTTTTTGACTTATGATTTTATTGTAATCGATGTGGTGACTAACATACTAAGCGCTTTGGGTTTTCTGTAAGCTTATTATGTTGCTCATCAAATAAATAAATAAAATAGTAATACTCGTATGTGCCCGGGAACAATATGCATTTATTAACAATTTGTATATCCTATCAAGGAATCGGACTACGAATGCGTAGGCGGTTATACATAATTGTATCTCAAAACTTATCGTAAACAAAAATTGTATTAGACTTCTATAATATTAACATCCGATAAGAATCAAGAACCAATTTTCATGTCGCCAGTTAACAAACAGAAAAATCGTTTTCAACATAAAAGGGGAGGATTGTTTGCCTAAAAATTGTTCTCAATTTGTGTGTTTTTACTTTCTGCCTCAACAATGCTCAGTCTGATTCGAGATTATTAAAATTTACAAAGGATACAAGAAATACAGGCTAAACTGTTGTTGATGGAAATACAATTCAAGTAAAGGTTCAATTAAAAAGAAAATAATTGAAATATCCGGCAACAATAGAATTTGGTAGTGTTTAAATAAATTGAACTGACTATTCTACTATTCTTTCACAGGTGATAGACAATTTTTGCTGTCGATGTTAATTTATTTAAACCAATAATTTAATTGATTCATAATGTAAATATCTGCTTAGTTTGAGGCTATAATACTTACCTAGTTTAATATAAGCCAGAACATTTGATTTGATTCAATTGAGTCGGTTTTTTGAGCTTCTTTCTTGAACCTTCAAATGTATGAACTCCACTCACTTCTATTTTTTGCCTCATATCCAGTAACTGACCTACTCGACACCTTGGTCAGTTAGTTTAACCAGTTTAACTAGTATTACATCTGTAATTAACCTCGAGCACGTGTCAAAGGGAAGTTCCTTTATTATCGGATCTTGTTGCTGGAACTAAAAAACCTTGTTTGGGAAAGAAATGCAGTTATGTGTGTGACTCCCAATTTATACTATTTTGCCTAAGGTTAGCTGGTAGAGAATGCCACATGGCATTAAGTTAGCCTTTTTGTACCGTTTTTATTTTGCGTGTGCAATAAAGTTTTTAAATAAATAAAATACTAGTCCAGCAGTGGTCATCTGGCTGAAACGGACGAACGAACTTTAGTAAAGTACGAGTATGTGATAGAAACTGGGAAATTTTGAAACAAATGGATTGGAATAACATTTATATACACTAAACCCTTTAGTATCTATAGTAGGTAAATCTATCTTTTAGAAATTCGAATGAATTTTAAGTTATCCATTGATATCAATTTGAAAAGAGTGAAAAATTTGTGTGAGTTTTACATATTATTATTTCATAGCGTTATTAATAAAGTTTTTTGTGTATATTATTAGAGCTTGAGTATGAGTGGGCTCACCACATTATTAAGATGTGTTCCTAGTAGCTAATTAAATTAAATACTCTTGTGACTGCTTTATGTTAATTCCAGTTTAACCAAATAAGCCCACGTGAATACGTAGTAATACTGTGCAATTTAATGGAATACATTTCTACCCACAGTTCTTGGGATAGCTAAAACTCTGAGGTCACATTGTCATCTGCCTAAATAAATGTATGCCATTATAACCCTCATTATACCGCATTAAGGTCAAGTTTATCTGATGCACGGAATATGCTTAAACTTGGCCACGGGCCAAGCGATATCAGGATAGTCACAAACTGACGTCTCCCTAGTAAGTAGTTTGATAAACAGGTAGTAGTTACATAGATGTAAAATAATTTAATTTGTTGTTTCTGTAGTCGTGCTACGTACGGTACGGTCGACATTTAATTTGTAAATGAAAGCTTTTAATTGGTAGGACCTCGATATGATTAAGCGCAGACTGACATTTTCAGCACAGTTTTTTGAGAACCTATCTTGTTTTGAGCCAAATGAAATGGCGTCCACTTCTGCCCCCAAGGATTTCCACAACGACTGCTCCTGCACTGCTTGCACCCACACCTTCTCCAAATCGTCAGTCCACCTAGTGGGAAGCCTGCCTGCATTACGTCTTCTGGTTCGTGGACTCCACTTGAGAATTTTTCTGTACCAATGGCCATCAATTCTACGAGCTACGTGCCTCGCCCACTAGTGGCAATGGGCGAGCCACGGTTGCCTTTCTTCGGCTTTTGGTGTAGGCAATTCGGTCGGCTATGTCGGTTACTTCTGTTTTCTATACAAATAATAATATTCAGAACGTAAGGACGAGTAAATCAACCAGTCCATTCAGTCATATCAATAGCCTGGCTAGTAGTTGGAGGTAAGATATAGTCAGTTCCTCTGTGGTTCCACCTTCAGCTTGATCCTCACTTTCTATCAGGCAGATTCAGGCAAGACGCAAGATTACGTATAGTTTACCTTCTTCGTTCCGTGAAGCGATTTCAGAACTTAAACTCTCATGAGTTTTACTTTGTCTAAAACTCTAGACACTTAGTTCTTACCCCCACACATAGGAAAACCTATTTTACAGAGCGCTAAGAGAAAACTCATGCACAGTCCACACTAATAGTATTTTTAAGGTATTTAAGTGCCATTAGAATTGCCTTAGTTTGGGGAAAGCATTAAGCACGTACACAACTTTGTGCTTATTACAATGCCTTCATGAAAAACTAGAGGGGCGTTATTGGTCTCAGGAGACCGCAAAATGTGGGTAGAAAGTTACTGTACTATTTTGGTCTCTTTATTTTTTCATTAAATTCTCTGTCCTTTTAATTTGGGATCGTTTCACTTTCATTTTGTGTCGCAAAAATTGGCTAAGTTCCAATTTTTTATTTAATTACGTTTAGAAGATTGTAATTAAAAGGCGAATTTAATGGCTTATGGCATTATAGCTCAGTCAACTTTGGGTCAAGCAGAAATACGAGTAGGCGGTAAAATTACAGAGAATATTGCTTATTCTTTCATAATATTTTTTAGAGTAGTTTGACCTACGGACATACATACTTACCCCCTTACTAATAAAAAGTTACACAGTTGTTGAATACTGTTTTAAAATTATGTTTCCACACTATATGTCACTTAAAACACTGTTCAACGAGCGTGTAAGTTTTATTAGTAAGGGGGTTCATTATATTAAATGCATTAAGTAGTAAGAGTTGTATGTATTAGTATTTCTTAAAGTTAATGGATTTAAGGATATATTTATCCAATAGTAAAATGGGGAGAAACTTTGAGCCTGCAATACACTTGATGTATTTATTTTAGTATTCTTTTAATTCTCAAGGTTACAAATGGTGTAACAGTTGGACAAATTAATTACCATTTGCCCTTTAAGTAACCCCAAAACTGCGCCTACGTCAAGTAATGCAATTCATCGTGTGGTCTCATTAATATATTATTCTCATTAAGATAATTGTCCGTCGCTATCTTCCTATTATCTAAGCAAGGGTCTCGGGCGACACAGGGAAACAATGGTAAAGATTAAGGTATCCCGTAAGGTGGGCGTAGCGCAAATAGAACAGCCAGGATTCTTCTTCTTGTCGTGTCGACAACAGAATAATTATTACTGACGGGATTGCTACCATGTACCCACACTGTTAACTATCCATTTCCGTTTTTGCTCTCGCTCTCATCAAATGGTGATTCTTTGCGTTAGAACGAGACGACATGAGCGACAATGGGTAGTTAACACTGTTGCCGATAGTACCTTAATTTCGAGTTTCAGATATTTCGGCACTGTTGCAAGCGCCACAAGTTGTCGACAACAAACCTATACAGTGTCAGCCGAAACTCTGCTACAAGAGTGGCGTTGTCAGTAGCATTCATCAAATTTTCCTGCGTGCAGTTGTTTGGGCACGCAGGGCACGACATCATGTGCTTCGTTGACTGGGGAACACAACCATGACATGCACTCCAAGTTTGAGTCATCCAAGAATCCCCACCTGAACAGGTTGTCCTTACTACGGCCGACCACCGTTCGAAGTCTATTTAAAGACATCCAGGTAAGCCAGGGGAGATCATGCCCAGGTGGAGGACTCTCAGACTTAGGGACAAAAGGGCAGGAAAGATCAGTGTGCCCCCCTCTCCTTCATGACGATAGGTCAAAAGAGAGATGCAGGTCTTGAGAGAGCGTAATCTGTTAAAACTGTTTGCTCGAAATGTATCTTTTCTACTTGAGCTACACAAATGATATGGTCCAACTTGAATAGAGGACTTAATTGACATAACTCTTAATGATGACGATGATCGCCAGCTTCTTGATAAATAGGTACCACGACTAGATGACACTTGCGAAAACCATTCTGACATTTATAACTTCGTAATCGTTTCGTTGCGTCCTCAAATTGTAGTAAATAAGAAAATCTTACAAATAAAAAAAAAAAAGTTGTAGGCACTTCATGTAAAGTTGTAGTCGCAGGAATTTTACTGCACATTTTTAGCGACTTGAAAAAAATGATTTAGTTTCGTAGCATTCGTAGCTTACTACGAGCTACAAGGCTACGGCTAACTACGAAATACTACGAGAACTACGAAAAACTAAAGGTGAACACACACCTAAACTTACTGTATCTAGACACGCGGGAGCGTGTCAAATCAAGTTCATAAATCCCACTTTTATATTTTATGGGATGCAGATGATGCAGAGCTATTAAAATTATATAGGATGAAAACTTTTATGCCAAGTCAAGTGTTAATTATTTAATTATCTCATTTACTCGTAAATACTTTGATTTCAATTACTCTGGTACGTTATTTCAAAATTTGGTCGTCTTTCCTTTCATACATAGTTAAGTACGTATCCATTACTTTTATAGGTTAAAATAATACAGCAGAGAGACTTCTATGAAAGTTCACGCAAAAGCTGTAGAAACCTTACCTTAAAGATCAAAAGTCAATCTGCCATTTCTTCCATCATATTATCTTCGACACTAAAAACTGTTTATAATAATCCTAACTCACATTATCTTATCTTGATTAAACAGACTTTATTGACTCGTAAACGATGCACTGCTATAGGACGTTTAGTTTTATGGCTATTCGTATGAGGTAAGGTTAGGGCTGCCAGGCGTCCGGATTTAACCGGACATGTTTGGCTTTTACGGAAGTGTCAGGCCAAAATATTCTCTCGTCCAGCCTGTCTGGCTTTTGTTAGGCTTTATGTGGCTGCCGTGCCAGTTGAAAGTCGTGCGCCATGTAAAGCCATGACGCGATTTTTTTATTATGAAATATCTTTCTACTTTATGAAGATAATTAAGACTTTAAAAAAACCTTCATTGGTTTGGTTTTTATGGCGGTCAAGCTGGAGATCCTGGCTACACAGGAGTTGGAGCGGTGGGAACGAGAGGTGGGAATAGTCCTGAAGACTTTTAAAAGCTCTGGTTAGTAAAACAGGTATGCTTTTAGGGTAAAATGTCTGACCAATAAAGCACCGAGTCCGACTTTAGTGTTTTGGACGTGGCAACCCTAAATGAGGTGGGAATGGGTCGTAAGCCTCGTTTGTATTGAAGGGAAAATTGTTCGGAAGACACCAATAAAAACACAGGTTGAGTTGCAGCCGGTGTTTTCTGTATGGAGTTTGACTCTTGACGTTTGTTATATTTAAAATATTGGTGCAACCCATTTTATTTTTTAGTCTTGTTAGTAAACTCAACTAAGCTAGAATTAAGTATGACGAACGGCTTGATGAGAATAAGTAGATGTTTTATTTAAAAAGTATGACACCATTGTTATGTCCCTTATTATACTTAGCCTACGGCGAAATAAAAAGATCCCTCTTTTATGAAGACAATTTCTTGTACAAAATACCGGGAGGCTACAAACAAAGTTGCAGTAGCTTACATTACCTAACTATAATAATGTAAAATAATACACAATGCAACCTAAAATTGTAGGTTTTTTTATCCACGACGAGGAAGCTCTTGGCCTGTATCTCACCTGATGGTAAGTGATGATCAAGCCGAAGATGGAAGCGGGCTTCACCCGGAATCCTCAACCACAGAGGAACTGGCGATCTTATCTCTAACTGACGGAACACAACAATGCTGTTAACATTGTTATGGCGACATACTTAGGTAAGATGGTGGTAGCTAGCCAGGCGAACTTAGAACAAGCCCTACCACCAACCAAACCGAACAGAAAAATCTGCCCCCACTGGGAATCGAACCCGGGACCTCTGCGTCTGAAGCAGGTGGTCTTACCACTAGACCACAGAGGAGGTAATTAAGATAGTTAAGCATCTACTACGAAAAATTAAAATTAAAGTGGTTACTTAAAGATTTTGTAGTCTGTGAGTAACAAAAGCCCTTAATAAGTTAATTAACCGGAGGTTTCCTTATTCAATGAATCCGTGCCTAAGTATGAATGAAATTGAACTAATATTTATTAAACTACCAATCAATTAGTCAAGCTAAAAAGGAAAATGCAACATGGCGACGTACTAATTGAAGGAAATGAAACCTCGAGGAGGCCGGGGTAGAATGGAAAAAGAGCAGCAAATAAAGTTAAGCTTTTGAGGCAACATTGACCTTTATAACAAAGAGGCAAAATGGATTATAATAGGATAACAATTTCGCTGAACTTATAATTATTTCGCTTGTAAATCGGGAGTTATACCGTGTACCTTATTATTGAATTGAGTTTCTGGTAATTCGGTGGATTTGCATATTATGTGGGTTTTAATGAAGTCAGTAGAATAGAGTGGGTACAGGACCGTGGCAGATGTAGGGGATTTGATTTCCGCACAAAGCATTTTGTGCATGAACCTCGAGAAAAATTTTACTCGTAGTACTTATGAGAGAAGATAATGTTTTATAAATTACGTTTAGTATTTATATACCACTTATTATAGCCGTGAGGTTTCGGCAGCGCAGACAAGACTCAATATAAGACGCGACTTAGGGGAAAAAATGCCTTGTCTGGTGACCGGCGGGAGCGCTCAATCCTTTATTTGCCTCCGGTTACTTAAGGCGAGTATAAACTAGATCATAGAGCGGCTCGTTGTTCTGTTACAGGTAAATGCTCTAATCTATACTCACCTTTAGAGACGGTGCTCCTGCACCAGAGTCTAAAAGAACTGATGATGACCACTGATTCAAAGAATTATTTTGTTCCAGCCACCATGGTCCCCAACACAACCCTCCTGCTCATCATCGTGGCTCTATCGTCTGTAGCGGCCCAGACCTTCCAGTACTCCCGGGGCTGGACCAACGGCAAGCGGGATGGCCACAAGAGGGAAGAGGTCAGAGACGTGGCCAGCAGCCTTGAGAGGATCCTGAGCCCGTGCCAGGTTAACAAGTTGAAGTATGTGCTGGAAGGGAAACCGCTGAGTGAGAGGGTAAGGACATAATCACTACATTTTGTAAAACAAAGTCGCTTTCCTGTCTGTCTGTCCCTATGTAGGTATGGTTAGATCTTTAAAAATCTGCAACGGATATTGATGCGTTTTTTTAATAGATAGAGTGATTCAATAAAAAAGGTATACCTGTACGAAGCATGGGCGGGTCGCTAGTAGACATATAAAATGTCTTTTTTCAGTAAGTTGACTGTTAAAGAGATGATATGGATATTTTCACATCAAATACGTAGAATGTAACTTCACTTACATACTCGTAGTATAAAACAAAGTCGCTTCGTAAAAGTACGCAACGGATTTTGATGTGGTTTTTTTTAATATTAAAGTGATTCAAGAGGAAGGTTTAGGTTTATATTATGTACCTATACTTAGTACTCGTCCGAAGCCGGGGCTAGTCGCTAGTATTTTGAATAAAAACCTTATAATCTAGGAAATAATACTTCTTAGACTAGGCGCAGACCACCGATTTTTAGTTGGCCGATAGTTGGGCCCGATTTTAATTTGTATGAAGAATCGGCCAAATCAAATCGGTGTAATGTGTCTACTTCCATACATGCCCGTACTGATCAACTGCCCGACTAAACTATCGGCCGACGAAAAATCGATGATCTGCGCCTAGTCTTACTCTTACTTACCTTCGCAATTATTGTCATTTTTCTTCTGTCTTATCAGTTCTTCGGGCCCTGCGACTACTTCGAAGAAGACATGGACAATCAGTCGAAGAGGTACAAAGAACGCAGCCAGGACCCCCTGTTCGATGCCTTCCAGTGAACCAGGATCTGAAAGAAAATGTGCCAGTGTTTGATATTTACACGTTTTTCGGTTAGAATAAGACTTTATTACAATGGCAGGATACAAAAGATATTTCGTTGAAATACTACTACGTTTGTCAAATAATTTATAAACTGTAATTAAATCCATAAGTCCATCATCATACCCAATGGGAAAAAGCTCATTAACGTTACAAGTTTTTCTTAAAATATTTCTCATGTAAAGTCTACTAAGTAATTGCAGCAATACGCTTAATAAACCGTGTAGGTAGGTATACACTTTATTTTTATTTTGTTAACCATAGTAATTTAAAATCTCTATTTGTTCAATAGGTATTATTGTCACAAAAATATTCTTATGTATTACTCATGTCATTGTATTTGATAATTAGGTTATTGATGATACCGGAGATAATTAAATTGCTTAGTAATAAAGGAACATATAGTAATTATTTTTTAATATTTTACGTTAACTAAACATTTTGTTTTAACGTAGGATTAATTAATTATTTATGTGAAGCACCTGACCTCAAAAATTACAAAGCTTAGGAAAAATGAATTTGACTCGTACTAATATTTTTAAAGAATGTTGAATGTTTTGTTTAAACTTTAAAGTAATGCATAGACGGCTGGGTTAATGCATTACCAAAAAATAAATTGTATTAGTAATGATTTTACAAATTACAAAAGCCTAAAAGGCCTTTGTTGAAAATGAACTAAGTACTATCTAATTTTGTTTCTAGTCGATTGTCCAAAGTAATTTATTTATTTTTTACATTCTTTACTATTTTAGAAGGTATTTAGATAATATTGTATTATATCGAAATGTAGATAAAAAAGATTTATGTGTTTTCCTAATTATAGTCATTATTGTATATTTACGATTTGTGAAATCCTGCTGTAAAATGTTGACAACAATGTAAATTGGATCGATAATAAAATCTGATTTCAATTAAAATTGCTTTTATTGACAACCATTTATTCTGTTCTTCACTATCCATTACGACTCCTTGTAGACACCTACAGATTGACTGCCATTATAAAACTCAACAATAGGTACTTAGTTGAAGAAAAAAAAATTAAAAAAAAAGAACCTTAACACGCAAAAATTGGTGGTGGATAAAATGGCATAACATTGTCACGTAAAACCCTATTGGTTGTGGGAAGGATCTACTACAATTAATATAATAATTTTTCACAATAAAAAAATTCAAACTAATTCTATTTAAAAATACACAATATAACTTTTGTATTTTAGCGTCATCTAGTGGTCGTAAAGAAAATTACAAACAGTAATGCTTTTTTATACAGCGCCATCTATTATTTTATTCTCGAACTACATGCATTAGTGCTAAATCGAGCATGCTTTATTACGATAGAGCTGCCATCTAGTGATGAGTAGCTGTAGTAAAAAAAAAATTCTACTGCACAATAGATGGCACTGTTACACTTCGCAATTATTCACTAGATGTCGCTACTTACGTTAAAAATAAACAAAAAATATTATAGCATGACAGATAAGAATAAAAACAAAGAAACTAATAATTACTCTTAATTTTTCCGTCTATAAAAACAAGTTTCAAACAAATAATTTTGCTTCATCTATCATAAATAACTAGCGTCATTATAAGGCCGTATGTTAGCCACAAATTGTTATATGAAGGCATTTATGAGCGAGCCAGTAATGGATTTTGAATCTATCATTGGCATGGGCTATTATTTCCCCGTTTATAATGTATAAGGATGCTTATTATCGTGAAATTACTTATCACAAGCATGATTATACTTAATTATAGGTGGTATATAAGTACCTAGATGCTTCGGTCGGTATATAAAAGTAGGTAATTCAGCCACTTCAGCGGATTATTAGTCCAATAAATAAGTACTTAAATAAGCTTTACAATTTTATTTTTTTATTTAAAGAATGTTAGTGCGACAAAAAGAAAGACTATAGGTAGTTTCATGGATTGTCTTGTTATTATTTTCATTATTACCCCACAAATGGCTGTACTGTACTTATCAGTCTTCTAAACATTAATTATTATTACAATTTTTAAAAACTAGAGGCTGTTAGTTTAGCTAAAAACAATAAGGTAAAGCTACTTAAAAATAAATAAATAGGCGTTTTAAATGAAAAGATCGAACTGCCTAAGGAGGGAATCGAACCCACTACTTTTTGCTTAGTTTTATAATGGTTAATTTTAATAAATAGGCGTAACTAAGGCCTGAGAATGTACAAAACTAATATGTACAGTAAAGTCCATTATCTGTTTATTGTAATAATATTGATTGTTATGCCTCATTATTTCCCAACTGATCACTGCGCAATACAAAACCTACTTAATCTGAACGAAGACATAACTATTGGAAAATTACGGTCAAATAAGGTCTCCACGAATTGGTTTTCGATTTAAAGACGAAGCGGAAACGAGTCGACGTCGTTTATTACAACTTCAGCCAGTTCAGACTCAATTACCGAGTAGTGGTGGGGATGGGTCGATGGAAAACATTTTATCGATTTTCAAGAACTGCTGAACTTAATTTTTCAAGCTTTAATTTTTTAACGCATTGTTTTCTGTGTTTTATAAGCAGTTCGTTCTCTTGCCTACTATATCACTAACTTATAGAATAGTCGTTATAAATTCGATTCAAATCTGAATTTTTTAATCCAGATGGATGATGGTTGACCTTCATGAAACTCTTTCCATCTAGGTTTGCCTGAGCATTACAATTTACAAGCAGCAATATAAAATTAAATTATATTATTTGTAATCACAGATAATAAATACTACGTTATGTTATAATACTAGTATTTTAAGCCCCCCACACGCGAGCATATTATATGCGTTTAAAATGTTGAAAAAAGTATATTTCTGCTCTATGCTTCACTCACATGCAAGTATGCAAGGAATTGCTGTGTACATTGTTAAAAGAAACATAATAAAATACAGTTTCAGCATTGTGGATTTAATGATGATTTTCTTCATTTTTCAAGTTTTTAAAATGCAGCTATGCAACAAGAACTTACTTACCTTCAACACAAGACCACTATAAGCCAGCATTGAAGCATTGGAATAGATTTAATTTCATCGACATTTCACTACACCCATCCCTAACTTTGTAAGAATGAGATGCCCTAAACTTAAATCCGTTTCCCGCCATCACACAATCTGTCCCGGCGAGTCGACCAATCACAGCGCAGTAGGGCGGCGCGGCCGGCCAACGGCGGCCTCTGATTGGTCCAAATTATTAAACGGGTTGCCCATAATAAAAAAAAGTCTGCCGCGTAAACCTTACAATTGAGTGCCACTTTTTGTCCGTTAAATTGATGAAAAAAGACTTGGAAAAATTGGCGCTGAGATGAAATAAAAAATGATTTATTATGGCTGCCGCTTAACTTTTAACTTATTGGACGTTAATGACTTTTGATTTTGCACGGAAACGGTTTTGAATTTTGCCGTCTGTGTTGCCAGTTATTGTTGTAATTTGCTTAATTATGCCAAGAATAAATGTCGATGTAAGTTATTTCTGTTCCCAGTGAATTAATGGAATTTTTCTTTTTGATTGTTTATCTTTATTGTTGTCTTGGTGTGTATCAATAGGTAGCTTCTGGATGCCTAGGTAGATCATAATAATTATGATTACCCATTTTTCTTTCTGTAATTGTTTTTAGTTTTTAACGGACTTCAACAAAAGGAGGAAGGAGGTTCTCAATTCGGTTGGTTTTTTTTATTAATTTCACTAACGGACATATTTTTCATAATTTACATTTTTATGTACTTAAGTTTACATTGTATGCTTCAGTTTGATAACATGTCACTTATTGTGAAACGTGCCAAAGCTCTATTATTGATTGTTCGTACCTAATTAATACAATACATATATCGAACGTCTAAATTACGTGTGTTTTTTCAAACACAGTTCCAGTTGTATGAACCGTTGAATTTTTTTTCTCTAAATAATAAGTAACTAACTTAACTTTTTAACTTTAACACATTATTTTGATTCTGCCAATGTACTCGTAACATGCGAACTGTCCTTTCCTAACAGGCTCACAAACTCATTGTTATTTTCATATTCATTTCGCGCCCAACCGGTTGTTGTCGCGGCGATAAATCGCGCGCCTCGGAATAAAGTCGTCACGGTATCGTGCCGGTATCGGCGCGCCCACGCCGCGTGCGCGCGTCGCCGCCTTATGTATGGCTGATCTTTGTTGTAAAGCGTAGGGTGCAATGAGAGAAAAGTGAAATTCGAAAATCATTTAGAACTCTCGGAGTCTGGTGAAGGTCGCGGGAAGCACCTGGATGCGGACAGCGCAGGACCGGTCGTTATGGAAATCTTTGGGGGAGGCCGTTGTCCAGCAGTGGACGTCATTCGGCTGAAACGAACGAAGACTCGGGGTATAAACAGAGAGAGAAACCACTACGATGCCACCATAAGCTAGTAGTTACTCTAATTATCAGCGTGGAAGCTGTTTTGCAGCGGGTGTAGTAATGCAAGATCTTACTTATTCCACTTTAATATGAACCTATGATAATATTCACATAAGTAACTATACTATTACTAGTATGACTGAGTTTTGTGAAAAAAATACAAATGAAGGAAAATAAAATATGAGTGTCAGAGATACAGAGTTAAAGAGCACACTCCAGCACCTCCAGGCTCCAGTACAAAGCGGGTGATCTAAATGCCTAGCCTATGAGATCTAAACCAATCCAGCTAGATAATCCATTTCTAGCAGTTTCTTTGTATCCCATGAAAATAAAGCAATTGCTTACTGCATCACATCTGGGTCTTGCGCACCGCAGAGAGCACCGAAGTTTTAGAGTCTGAGAATCGTGAGACGAGCTAAGAATCCAACTAGCTCTCTCCCAGTGTGTCCCCGAGCTGTCCGCATCAAGTTATCAGCCCGTGAGTTAGGCGCGGGTCGAATTTACTCGTATGCTGATTAACCAGAGCAAGGAGCCCAATTCTAAGATTTTAAATCATAAGACGAGCAAACAAAACGACTTAGTAGCGTGAGGCGAGCTAGATAATCCATTTCTAGGGTTTGAAATCATAAGACGAGCTAAAAACCCAAATAAGTAACGTGAGATGAGTTAAAAATCCAACTAGCTCTCTCCCAGTGTGTCCCTGAGCTGTTCGCATCAGTTATCAGCACGTGAGTTAGGCGCGGGTCGAATTTACTCGTATACTGTCTAACGAGCTAGGTAAACCATGTCTAGGGTTTGAAATGATGTGACGAGCTAAGAATTC